TGGTGATGGGCGAGATGGTGATGGGAGAGGTGGTACTGGTGATGGCGCTTTTGGAAGGATCTTATTGTTATGGCTGGATATCACGGATTTCACGTTTTTCAGGCAACTATAGCTCACTTTGATGGTATTCCTGTTGAAAATTTTGTTTAGGGCGGATGACTTAGGGAAGTGAATATCTACGAGGTGTAGAAAATCTTTACCAATGTTGGATCTCACGTTTTTACTGTACGGCGGATTGAACCAGGTGATATTCCTTTTTCGGTTTCTTTTTGGTGTGTTATGGGTGTTATGATTTTGATAGTGTAACTTGCTTTGGTAGTTGCTGTGATGGAGGGCTTGTTCGTATAGAGGCGCCGATGAGTCGAATGCTTGTTTGTCGGAAGAGAGTCGGGAGATTCTTTTATTAATTGACACAGGTAGTTGTCTGATAATTGGGGGTGGGTGGTTAGAGTGGCTGTTGATATAGAGTGGTTGGTTGTTCGGTTTCCTATAGGGTTTGTAACTACCATCGTGCAATCATGCACGCGCAAGCAAACAAAACCAAACCGTCAAATTTAGTTAACAGAACTTTAGTTGTCCGAAGATTGTCTGTAAACTCAGGCATGAAACTCTGAGTAACAACGTTTGTTTTGTACTTTATTTAAATAATTAAATATATATATATATATATATATATATATATATATATATATATATATATATATATATATATATATATATATATATATATATATATATATATATATATATATATATATATATATATATATATATATATATATATATCACCTGATGATTCCTATACGGATGAAACAGACTGTTGTGGTTCTTTGAGGTAAAACGAAAAACTATATTACGCTCTATCTATATGGTATTAAGCACTGTTTGTGTTTCGTAAACCAAAATCTAAAGCTATATATATATATATATATATATATATATATATATATATATATATATATATATATATATATATATATATATATATATATTAAGATGAAGATGTTCTAGAGTGTGTATTATATAATTTCCATACCCAGCGCAAGCAGAAAGATGTTGTCTGCCGCGGCTGGGTCTTGAACCCGCGACCTTCGAATTACTAGATTGACGCTCTACCAACTGAGCTACACGGTCAGACGGATTTTTAAGACTGGAAATTATGAAATATATAGTAAATATACTAATAATATTTAATATACTAATAATATTAATATTAATATTATTTTATTTTTTTATTTAATATACTCATAATTTTTTTATATATATATATATATATATATACATATTCTCGTTGTCCACAATCTTTATTTTGTCTTGTTTCTGGGTCATTAGCTAATGCTACTACAGGCGGCACAAGCACAAATATTAGTGTCGAAAAATATCCAGACATATTTCAGGATCCTAAAAACTAAAAAGTATGCCGACAGCTTTAATTATCAACAGGAAATTACAAAAGTGTCAAATGCAGGCAGCTATAAAAAAGTTGTATTACTATTAAAAAATTTTAAATTTTCTCAAGCAAAAAGTCTGTAAGCCCTCTTCGGAGACGTTTGGAAAATATTTTCTCAGTAAAAAACTCTGAGCTGCTAGTAAGTAACATATATCTATTTTGTTCAGAAAAGGAGAGATGTCCCAAGCTTCCTTGTGGTCCTTGGAGTCACTGTAACAAGGCAAATGGTTCCGCTATGTGTCAATGCGAATTTGGATTCTCTGGCAATGGCAGTCAGTCATGTACTGGTAAGTATGTTCTATATTTCTGAACATCTATAACTAGAAAATACATGGGGGCATTTAAAAAATACCCCAAAATATAACTTTTAATTACAAAATGATCAATTTCCCAAACATATACATGCTACAATCCTGGCAAAAATTATGTGGACACCTAACTTTTCTAACGCCAATATTAACATAGCGACGTTCTTTCATGAAATTTGTCGCCCCCTGCCCCTATTAATGTTGATTCTCGCATTAAAATTTTAAAAGTTTCATTTACCAAAATTGAATTGGGGGTAGGAGGGGGAGAAATTTTCTGGGGATTAATTCTATAGAAATACATACGGTGGCCCATAAGTGCAAAACACAATACACTAAACCAAAACATAATACACACTACCAAAACACAATACACATTACCAAAACACAATACACACTACCAAAACACAATACA